GCCCCGCTGCCCCCCACTACCACCCCCGGTGCCCTCCCCGGCACCCGCCCGGCCATGCGTGGGGCTTCTGGTGCGACCCCGGCCAGGCTTGCCCCCCCGGGGCCTTTCCCACCCTTGGCTTTCGCCTCAGGGCTGGGATCATCGAGGGTGTGAGGCCACCCCCGGCCCCAGCCGCCGCTCCCCTGGGCCTTGAGCTGGTTAGGAACCCCGCCTGGCTCCCGCTCCTCACCAAAAGGGGAGGTAAAAACCACCTCTTGCAGAGGGTTCTGCAGCCAGGGCTGGTATTAACACCAACAGCAGGTGCTGGCGCGGCCCAGCCACCTTCCTTTCTGAACCGTGGCTTGTTTTCTTTGGAAGCCCATCCATCAGCGTGTCAGTCTGGCAGCTGCGGGATGGATTGACTCTGCCGTTTGAGCGCAGCATCGGCTCCCTGATGTCAAACGAGAGAACCCAAAGGTCAAAGAGCCGGGTTTCCTGGTGCCTCCTCCGGAAAAACTACGAGTGCCATAGCCCAGCTGGGCTTGGTACACCTCCCGGTGGCTCCCTAACAGTACAGGCACTGCTTAAAGGAAGAACAGCAGTGTGGAATAGCGGCGTTACAAAAATTGAGGTTAAAAGAGTAAAATGAACCAGTATGGAAGAACGTGTAGATATTTTATACGTGTACTGCTTATCTTTAGAGTCGCTGTTTCCAACTAGGAAGGAGATGTATATTGTCCTCCATCCAGCTGCATAAGGAGTGAAAAGTTGAGGGAAAAAAAAAAAAAGATAAAAGACAGGAAAGTCCCTCCTAGCAGGAGGAAAACAGCAGCATCATAGAGCTCCTCATAACGCTGAGCCCCTTAAAGCCTTGCCATCCTAATTTAAAGACCTCTTTAAATCAATAAAGCGCATACAGGGAACATCCCCCACCCAAAACCCAGTAATTCAGCAGAAACGGAGCAGAGGATAAGTCTGTAAATACCTGTTATCAATCCCCAATCTTGCTGGGTTTCACTGGCTGCCTTGTGAGCATCAGCTGCTGTCGAATGCTGGGAGATAGGGGAACACAGCTGCAGCCAGAGCCTTATCAGGGATCTTGGGGCTCTTGGAAAAACATGTCAGCAGCTGAGCCGGCATCAAGGGTCACCACCTGGGAGCCTCACCCGTGGGCTTGGTCCAGCTCTGCCCAGGTTAGTGATCCCCTTGGCTTAATTAGAATTAATTACATAAACAGCTGATTGCAGGATACAGATCCTTTCCCTGCACTGGTACCCGGGCTCTCCCCTGTTGGGATAGGAATCTCTGGAGTTGACTCTGCCTTAACCAGCAATGCCCAGCTGACTTCCCCAGTAAAGAGAAGTCAAACCATGGGTTTCCTCCACGTGGTGTTTCTAAAAGGCCATGCTGATTTGATTCAAACACCCAAATCTTCCCTTTTTTCAGGGCGCTTCCACTTTTATTAGCAGATTTAAGGACCAGGTGAGGTCTGGCACAGGCACTCCTGGCGTTTGGGGGGGGGACAGAGGGGCAGCCCGCTGTGCTTCGAGGGACGCAGCAATTTATGGCACCGGCACCTTAGCTTTCCTCCCCCGTGCTTTCAACCCTGCCGCTGCAGATCCCCGAGGGGCGCTTCCAGACGGGGCCACCAGGTCCCGCCGGCTTCCCACCACCCCTCGGAGAGGGTCACGGTTCAGAAAAATACCGGCCTGGCTGACAGGGAGCCAGGAGAGCCGGGGAGAAAGCCGGGCTGGGGGGTTCTGTGCCCGGAAAGGCGCAGGTGCGCGCGGTTTTACACCCTCTTTACGGGTGGGGCCGTTAAACCTCACCCTCATCTTCCTCGCCCCCCGGCTTCATCCCCGTCCCTGCCCCGGGTGTCCCCGCCCTCGGGGGCGGAAAAAATACCGGCCTGGCTGACAGGGAGCCAGGAGAGCCGGGGAGAAAGCCGGGCTGGGGGGTTCTGTGCCCGGAAAGGCGCAGGTGCGCGCGGTTTTACACCCTCTTTACGGGTGGGGCCGTTAAACCTCACCCTCATCTTCCTCGCCCCCCGGCTTCATCCCCGTCCCTGCCCCGGGTGTCCCCGCCCTCGGGGGCGGAGCCTATGTGATGGAGGCGGGGCTTGGCTGAGGGGTGGGGCGAGGAGACGGCGCATGCGGGGCTGCCGG